CAGAAGGAGCTGCTGTTTAAGCCCCATGGGCCATTGACTGAGCACCCAGGGGAGAAGCCACAGCCTGCAGTGGAGCCAGTTGGGGAGGGACCCCTGGGGTCAATGCAGGGCCAGAGGTCCCCCCCTCCTCCCCACAAGTAGCTGGATGCCCCCTCCTTCCACCCTCCCCGCCCCCACCCAAGGCAGAGCCCTGTGGCCGCAGCCAGAGCAGAGGAACACAGCAGCGGTCAACCCTGCGTCGGCCACCTGATGGCCGTGTGACTGCTGCGAGCCTCCATGCCCTCGCTGCCTCACTCAGATGCCGCCCTCCCACAGTGGCTGTGAGGGTGACGAAGGCAGGCACAGAGTAGGTCTGGCACACAGGGGAGGACCACCACCATTCAAGGACACGCCCCTCACGTCCCCTGCCTGTGCCTCCGGACCCAGCCCTGGAGGGCTCTGCCTGCCCAGGCCTTGCCGACCACCCCCTCATCCTGTACCCTCTCAACTGCAGGGTCACCTCTGAAAGCCCCCTCTGGGCAACCACCCACTCGTCCTCTCGCTTCCCAGTCCGGCCTGGCTTCCCCAGGGTTCCCAGCCCTCGGGGCCCTGCTAGGGGCAGCTGGACAAAAGGCCAAGCCGGACTGGCAGTGCTGGGCTTGCGCTGGGGCCCCTCCTCCCAGTGGACAGGGCCTCTCTCTGAATCCCCCCTCTTTCCACAGGGACTTAAAGGGACAGGCAGAGACCTGGACCCCAAGGTCATTGATTCCAGCTGATGGCCAGAGACCTTACTGGTCAGCATAGACCTGGCCCGCGGGATTTCCCAGTTAGGGTGTGATGGAAGTGGGCTGCCCCTCTTTCTCCCATGGAGCAGATAGTGGGCTGGAGCCTGTGGTTTCTTGGTTAGCCACTGAGTGATTCACCACTGTCCACTCCTTGTGGACCCCTGCGTGGAGTCACAAGCTAAGGTGGTCCCTCATTGTAGGAGCAGGAAGTCCCATCTTTCTCCTGGGGAGCTGCTGGTGGGCTCAGACGGTCAATCTTGGGGTTTAGCACCCAGCAGGTGACCAACTGCACCGCCGGACCTCCAGTGGATCACAGGCTGGCCAATCCCAGTCACACCCACAAGGGACAGGGTTCCCTGGAAGCGCATGGCAAGGCAGGGTGGGGACAGGGACTGGACGGAGGGCACAAGGCAGGGTGCTACCTGGTACCTCTGGATTAAACCTGACCTCCCCGCTGGCCTCAGGGTTCTGTCAATGGTCCCTCTCCCTCCTCCCTGAGGTCAGGGTGGTGTGTTAGCACCTGGAAGGGCGGCAGGGTCCGCACGCATCAGCCTCCGTGGGGGCGGGGCCGGCAGGAGGGGCGGGGCCGGGAGCTCACCTGGCGGCTCAAGGTTCTCGCAGAGCTCTGACTTGGCCTCCCCGTTGGGCCGGAAGCTGCCCTTCTGTGTGAACTTGTTGGACATGGTGGCGGCGGTGACGACGGCTTTGAGACTTCGCTTGCGCTTGGGCACGTTCTGCTCCGGGTGGAAGAGGATGATGTAGACCTTGGGCATGTACAGCATCCCCAGGGACACCGAGGCGCTCAGACTCACCGAGACCGTCAGGGTGGTCGTCTGGATGTACAGCTGGGGGCGGGTGGGGGGTGGCGTCAGAGCGGGCTGTGCCGCGCCTCCCAGGCCCTGACCCCACCCAGCTAGCTCCCACCCCGAGGAAGGCAGACACTGCAGGGGCAGACCCCGGGACACCGCCCTGTGCCCCGCTGGCTTCAACTATGAAAGAAAGCAGTGTCAAGCCCTGGCTCTACCACTTTTGGCCACGTGGACTTGCACGAATCACATCCTGGTGCCTCAGTTTCCTCCTGGATGACACAGACGTAACCAGTCTCGTACTTTCCTCCCGGGACAGGTGTGATAATTCAAAGACTGAGCTGACCCGTCACAGAAACAAACTGGCGGTGATTGCCAACCTTCTAGACCTGCCCTGGGGTTCTGAGACTCACTCTTGGTGGGAGTAGAAAGCCCCATCTTTCTCCTGGGCAGCGGCTGGTGGTTTCAAACTGCAGACCTTGAGGTTAGCAGGCTAATGTGTAACCACTAGGCCACCAGCGTCTGAAACCCTGCCTGGTGCACGCTAAGTGCTATGTGAGTGTTTGTGGTTATGAGATACTATTTGCAGGAGGCATCCCTCAGGGGGCCACCACTGTCCCGTCCCAAGACCCTGCACTGGACTGGGAAGGCATGAGTCTCTCCCCGTGGCTGGGGCATCTGTCCCCCTGTGGCCTGGCCCCTGCTCTGTGGCTGCAACCCCTATGTGTCACCGTGCTGAGCAGGTTGGTGGCACGAGAGCCTTGGCCACACCCAGCAAGGTCCACAGCGGCATCACATCCAACGCTCATTTCACACCCGCCTGCCAGGACTAACAGTGATGGATGTTTAGCAAAACGGACACCCATTAATCTGGATGTCGGCTAATGCATTCTTCAATAGTGGGCCTTCCAGGCAGGGCCCCTTGGGGACTCCCTCCGGACTCCTCCCTCTCTCCATCTCCTCCCGGGGCTCAGCTGCCTCGCTGGTGTCCCTGGACCAGGCTGGTCCCAGGGGAGACCTAGTCTGTGCCTCTTATTCAGGGTCCTGGGGGACAGGAATGTTCTCCCTCACCCCCATGCCATCTCGTGCTGCTGTTTATGGGCTTGCCTCCCGACATGCATCCCCAGGGCCGGATTTAGGTACCACCTCCTCTAGGAAGTCCTCCCTGACCCCTGGCTCTCTTCAGCCCTCCTTGGCCCCTTCGTTGCTTTCACCCAGCCCAGATGTGGCACTTGCTCCCTGAAGCCACACAGGCCAGATTCCTCGCTCTACTACCCCAACTGTCACCTGCCCCCTCCATAAAGGCCCCATGGCCCTGGGTCTCCTACCTGTGGGAGAGGAGCCGGAGAAGCTCCGGGTCTGGGAGGAGAAGGGCAGAGGGTGATCGGAAGCTGTGTGACCCTGCTGGGGGTGTCCTGCAGGGTCCTCTCTGGGCCTCAGTTTCCTCTTCGGCACAATAGGACAGCAGCACCTACCTCACCCAAACCATGATATTGCCCCTAGCCCAAACTGGGGATCCACGTGGAATTTGCAGGCGGGAGGTGGGGGGGGCGGCATGGAGACGCAACGAGACAATCGTGCTGTTCGCAAGCCAACAGGCTGGCAGTCCTCAGTGCGCCCCACCCCCCAGCCTGGGGCGACCCAGATCAAACAGGGCTCCATGGGGAGGAGGCTGGGGGCACTGAAGTTGCTTCATTTGCCACCATCTAGGGAAACAGCACAAACTCAGGGGACACCAGAGCCTGTTCCCCAGGTTGCTCAGAGAGGCAGTCCCCAGAACTCGCACACAGCCACCCTCGTGCCAGGGGTGCAGAGCAGCCCCCAGCCCCCGGACGGCAGGACGGCCAGGCCAGGCCCAGGATGTGGGCCGTGGCAGGGCGGAGGTGGGAAGACAGGCCCCAGATATCCTGACAGCGTGCTGGACAGTGCAAAAGTGACCTGGGCTTGTTATCTGCACCCCCACCCCGCCAGATGCAGAGCCCCTGGGGCCAGGGCTGTGTCTCATTCAATTGAGATTCCCTGAGGACGGGGTGTCCGTCTCCTCACACTGGGGATTCCTGGGTAGAGAGGTGGTATTTCCAGAGCAGATGCCTATCATTCCCACCTTGATTCAAGTGGGAACGGGGGTGGGGGACAGAGATAGGGACACCCTCTCTGAGCAGTGCTAGTCCTGCTGCAGACCCAGCCTTGAGGTGGGGGCTGGGAGCCCAGATGACCGGTCCCACTCTGGGCAATGCTCCCCCCAGCAGCTGTGGGGCCCAGGCATTCAGGCGTGCATGCTTGCACCACTGTCGTGAACGTCTTGGGATGCCTGAGCAAGAGCCTGGCTTTTTCCCTTTGCACCGGGCCCTGCCAGTTCTATAGCCAGCCCGAGCCCAGTGCACCACAGTGCTCAGTCTCCCTGGGCAGCCCAACGGGCCCTTTCTGCAAACAGAAATAGACGGAGTGGGGCACGGAGATCAAACGTGCACAAAGCTGCCCTCGGATGACCCCTGCCTGCTGGGGCTTCCCCTCCCAGCCTGCCCAGAATGTTGGGGGAGCATAGCTGCTGGGTTTGGAAGGCTAGGGAGTCGAGGCTGGTGTGCGATGCTTATCTGCTCCTTGGTCCACAAGAGCTAACAAACGACCAGGGAGGTGCAGGCCAGCCCTGTGGGCAGCAGACACCAGCTTGATGGTCCATGTGCCCACCCCATCTCGGAGGCCCACTCTTAGCTAGGGACTTGCTTCTGGGGCTCTCATGCACAGCATCACCTGTTAGTCCTGATCAGAGAAGCACTGGCCTTCAAGAAATGTGAGCCCAGATCTAAACAAGGGGCTTAACGGCCGCCGGCGGAGTGACAGGTGGCCGTCAGGCTGGGATTCCACCTGCCCTCCCCTTCCCCCACCTTCCAGCTTGGGTGGGGGGGTCCCTGAGAGTCACCCATTCCTGCTCCCCTTCCAGGTCAGGCCCTGCTCCACCACCCTGCAGCTGTGAAGAACCCTGCTTTAAGGGCTCTTACTAGTCACGTGCCCCCAGAGGGGAGGGCGTGGTCTGACCTGGGTGGGCCAAACGGTGCAGAAAGGAGTGGCTGTCGATATCAGGGTGAATCTCCCAGTGGGGCCAGGATGAAAGGGCCCTGAGAGGCCTGGGAGGGGCACTACATGCTTCTGCCCACGCCAACCTGGCACAGGGATGCTGGGGTCCCTAGAATGCATATGGGCCAGCCGGGGACCTTCTCCCACACCTGGCCAACCTCCTGCCACAGCCTGCCCGCCTGGCTGAGCAATAACCCCACACCGTGAAGCAGCCCTGCTCCAGGCGGCTCAGGGCAATGCCACAGGGCTGCGGTGTTAAGCCCTGGGAATCCGGGCTAATGCCAGGAAATCCAGCTGCCTGCTCACCGGAGCGGCACAGACAGCTCACTGTGCGGCAGCACCTGCCCCAGGGGATGCGCTTAGCGAGCACACACACATGGATACACACACACACCTGCACGCCTAGCTTCTTCACTCACACACCCGCCTGAACTCATAGGTGCACACCCACCGCTGGTCCAGACACACACACACACACACACCTGCACATACCAGCACCTACGCACACATCCGTACACACTCGCACATACACCAGCACACTGACCAGCCCATCCCTGCTCCAACTGCGGCATGCACCGTGCGGGTAGAGGAGGGCTTCCACAAGTTCCTGGAAAATGGAATTGAAAGGCAGTGGGGTTTCCCCCAAGAACCTTTTGAAGCCCCCTTGTACACACACAGTCTTCCCACCCACCACTGCCTGCAGGACATGTAGGCGTCCATACACACACCACAAATCCTCACAGCCCTTCCCACCCCACCCCCAGCAAGCAGCTTGCAACTGCAGTGTGACCTGGCCAGGGAATCCCCGCACCGCCCTGGGCTGCCCCAGCCTGGAAGGAGCCTGCTGGTATGGGCCTGCAGGGACTCCAAGGTCATTGGTCCCCTCCCTCCTCATTCAGAGACGGACAGGGGTGTGACCCAGCTCACCTGGCCAGTCTTATGCCCCCCACAGGGAGGAGAGCTGTGCTCTGTGGCCCGGGGAAAGCCCCCGCCCCTCTCAGAAGAGCTCTCCCCAGAGGTTCTTTTGGGGCTGAGGGAGGCCTCCCAGAGACAGGGAGCTCAGGGTGGTTGGTCCCCTGGAAGATTGAGTTGGGGGAAGGGGTGGAGGTTGGGCTCAGCATCCGGAGTTGGAAGGATCTGATACCTGGGTCTGGCACGGACCCCACTGGGGAAGGACATGCTGACAAGCAACAAGGGGATTGTGGGAAGGGGGGTCCAGGAGACCTAACCTCCATGCTGCCCTCCTTTCAGCCTCGTACCTCGCTTCTCCCTGCCGAGGGGCCTGCTGGAACGATGGAGGGTCACCTCTCAGGTTTCCTGGAGTGTGGGTGGCTCCCCCATTGGCTCTGTGGGCCCCATGGGCACTAAGGGGGCATGGAGGCCCTGCCTGTAGCTGCCCCCAGCAAGCGGGGGGCCTTGCGGAGGCAGGAGACATGGCTCCCAGGGGCGGTGGCTTAGGCCCAAGTGTGTAGGGTGGCGGTACCCTCCCTGGTGCCAGGCTCCATCTTGGATCTCACGCTCTTTCTTCCCTGCCAGCCCCCCACCTCTGTGTCTTGGAGCCCCTTGGCCCTCAGGGCCACGGATGCAGGCATGTCACGGGCCTCCCCGGTCCATGCCGGAGGGCTCTGGTGAGCAGGACGGAGGTCCTGTCCTGGAGGAAGACTGGAGATGAAAGCCCTGGACAATTGCGGTATCAGAGTTGCAAGGGGGTGGGGCTGCAGGGGGGGCAGCTTGGGGGCACAGTGGGATACTCTTGAGAGAGCCAGGATCAAGTTCAGTTGTGCCACCTCCTGGCTGTGCAACCTGGGGCAAGTTACTCCACCTCTCTGTGCCTACCTGACCTTCTTTATAAATGGGGGTAGTAATTCTCACGGGGTCACTGCAGGGGCTGGTGGTCACTGGGTAAAGTGTCCGGCACATTCAGGCACCCCGCCAGCGGCCCCCTTGCGGAAAACCTAGCCTCCCTCAGAGCTGGCGCCCAGTCTCGGGGCTTCCAATGCCACCCAGCACTGACCACTCCCACCATCCATCTCCAGCACAGCCTCCCCTCTGAGTCTCAATCCCAACCCAAGTCCCACTGCTGACTCAGCCTCGCCCCGTGGATGGGCGATGGGTCCCCATGCCTAGCATGCCCAGAGGCCCTCCTGACGTCTCGCTGGACCCTCTCACTGAGTTCCCCCGTCTCAGGGTCCCAGGGCACAAAATGCCTGCCTGCTGACACTCGGGCCACAAACCGTGGTGTCACCCTCAACATCAAAGACCCAGCCCGCTCCACCTCCACCTCCAAACACAGCAGGCCTCACTCCTGCTGCCCAGGCGAATGTCCCCAGCCCCGCCCTCCTCAGTGCTCCACCCAGGATCTCTTCCCACCTAGAGCAGACCATCCTCCTGCCTGCTCAGAACCCCACAGCCGGCCCCCACCATCCCCATCCTACACCATCTCCTGGTCACCTCTCTGACCCCACCTCCCCAGCCTCCACACAGGCGTTAGCACTACAACACCCAGGGCATTGTTTGACTGCAGGGCGCGGATCGTCGCCTCCAGTGGCTAAGGAGGAAACGGAGGCTGGGATGGCCAGTGGGCTTGCCCCAGGTCCCAGGTGAGATGTGGGGCTTGGACCAGTAGCTTCTGTCTTCAGTGACTCCCGAGTTCAAGTTCAATGGCCCCACGTGGCCCAGGCAGTGCTAGTGCAGGGGTGTGGGCAGCGTCTACAAGACCCCTGGGTGGCCTGACAGAGCCCGAATCCTCTAGTGATGGGTCGGGGGAGGGAGGCCCTCCAGTGGCGCAGCCAGGCCCCAGACTCCCGGGCTCTGGGGGCCAGGCTGAGGCTGGAGACAGGGGGACCCTGAGTGTGAACGGGACGGAAGATGGGGCTCAGCTCGAGAGGGTGAGAGGGCGGGGGAAGGGAGAATGAAGGAGGGCCCAGCAGCCAGGGAACAGAGGAGAGGAGGAGCCAGGAAGGGGGACAAACAGGACAGGGCAGTCCGGAGAGAGGGAAGGAGAGAGGGAGGGGAGGGAGGATGAGACAGACGAGGCAGAGAAGACAAGGGGAGGGGGGACGTGCAATTAAGAGACAGTGGGAAGAGGTGAAGAGGGCATTTCTGGAGCAGGGTGAGAGCCGGCCTGTCCCCTGGGGGTGGGCCTGCCCATTCCCGGTCACGCCCCGGCCCCCACCCCTCACCTTGTCGGCCGACTGTGAGGTGCCGAAGAAGATGGGGATGAAGGCCAGCCAGACGATGCAGGTGGTGTACATGGTGAAGCCGATGGGCTTGGCCTCGTTGAAGGTCTCGGGCACGCCGCGCGTCTTGATGGCGTAGACGGTGCACGTGACCATGAGCAGCATGCTGTAGCCTAGCAGGCAGATGAGCGACAGGTCCGAGATGTCGCACTTGAGCACGCCCCGGGCGAAGCGGGGGTCGAGCGTCCGCTGGTCCTGGAAGTCCACCACTGAGTGGGAGGGGTCCACCACGAACCACACGCAGATGCCCAGCAGCTGCAGGGAGATGAGGCTGAAGGTGATGGCCAGCTGTGAGGCCGGGCTGATGAAGCGCGGGGCGCTGACCGACCGCTTGCCCTGCTCGAAGATGCGGTAGATGCGGTTGGTCTTGGTGAGCAGGGCGGCGTAGCTGACGCTCATGCCCAGCCCCAGGAAGATGCGGCGCAGCGAGCAGGTGCCCAGGTCGGGCTCGGCGATCATCAGGAAGGTGGTGGCGTAGCACAGGAAGATGCCGGCCAGCAGCACGTAGCTCAGCTCCCGGCCCGAGGCCTTGACAATGGGGGTGTCATTGTAGCGCACGAAAGTGGCCACCACAAAGAGCGTGGCGCCGATGCCCATCACGGCCAGGAAGAGGGGCAGCACGGCCCACGGTGAGTCCCACTCGAGCTTGATGATGGGGATGGGCCGGCAGCCCGTGCGGTTCTCCGTGGGCCGCATGTCGTAGGGGCACGTCTTGCAGGTGTACCGGTCTGCCTGGTACTGGTAGCCGGTGCAGGGCTCGCAGTGCCAGCAGCAGGGCATGCCCTTCACCGTCTTCTTCCGCTCGCCTGGCTGGCAGGGCAGGCTGCAGATGGAGCGAGGCAGCTGCTGCCCATTCCCCGGCCAGTGCATCCGCTCTATCTGGCAACGACAGCACCACGCGGCCAGCCTCAGGACACGCCCCCCCACCCCCAGCGCCAGCCGGGCAGCCCCAGCTGTGCTCCACCCAGGGGTCTCCAGGGGCTTGGTAGAAATGCAAAACGTTGATGCCACTCCAAACTTACAGCTCCAGCATCTGCATTCTTAACAAGGGCTTCCCCTCCCCCTCCCCCTGCCCCCCAAGGGATCTGTGTGCACCCTGGAACGGGAGAAGTGCTGTGTGTCATGAGTCGTATGGGCCGGCTCACCCTACCCCATGCAGCATGGGGACTTGGGTCCAGCTTAGGGCCACACCCAAAGCTCCCGTCCAAGGACACTTATGTTCCTCTTATTGTCTCCCAGAGGTTCGTCCGGTTGATGTCCGACTCCCCAAACCCTCAGGTGTTACCAGGTGCCACCACCGACAGGGTTTCCTCCCCGGTAATTCATCTCTACGGGAGCGGATCACCCTCTTTCACCCACCGAGACAACAGAGGGTTCGAATCACCAACCTGACTGTTAGCAGCTAAGCGCTTAAGCACCGTGCAGCTGGGACTCTTTAAGGAGTGCCCAGGGGTTAGCCTTTCCTTCCACCTCCCTTCAAATGAGTGCCAGTCACAGCTGCGTGTCTCTGTGAGCAACCAGCGGGGGCGCTGTCAGGCCCTGCTGTAGACGGACCACAACGTCTGCAGGCAGTGGGCAAACGGAGTCTGGCTGCGCTCGGGAGCCTTATCCAAAGAGTCTGCTCTGAACGGGGAGCTCTTGGGGAGAGAGCGTAGCTGGTGCCATGTGTGGGCTGCGTGTGGCAGCCTCACTCCTGGAGAAAACATAACCAGTTGGTTCAGGGCAACCATCTATAAGGAATGACCAAACTCAAACTGAAGTGACCGCCATTGAGTCATTTCTGGCTCACAGCGACGTAGAGGGCACCGGCCTGGGGGGCTACAGAGACTGTCACTCTTTCTGAGAGTACAGCCTCGCCTCGCACCGGAGAAGCAGCTGGTGGTTTGGAACTGCCGACCTCAGCAGCTCAGCATGGAACCCACCACCACCAGGGCTGCTGGATCACAGATCTTTCCCTAGAGGGCCTGGGGTGATGTGGGTGGGGAGCTATTTCCAGGCTAGAAAAAGCTCTGACCCTTGTGGAGAAGGGGCCCGTGGGGATAGAATTAATACACCGGGCTGCTGGCCAAGATGTTGGAGGTTCAAGTCTACCCAGAGGCATCTCAGAAGAAAGGCCTGGCTGACTACTTTCACACAAAAACAACAACAACAACCAATGAAAATCCTAGAGAGCCCAGAGTGGAACTGGGCACGCAGTCACTGACCGGGAGCTAGAATCCACTCGACAGCTTCCATTGGGAAAGAGCAGTAAATCCAGTTCTGCTGATCACAGCGGGTCCCCGGCTAACTGACTGTGTGCCTTTGAACTAAAGACCGATGCCTAGGAGCCCTTGTTCCCCACCCCCACGAGAGTGGGCATGGAAGCCGCGGGGTCCTTTGTTGGGGAGTGACTTCCGTCTGGAAGTGGCATGGCATTCACCCTCTGTAGTCCATCCTCCATCGTGTGTGAAGCCCAGATTCACGCACCTGCCGCTCACTAACTACCTGCAGCACTTCCGCATGCATGCGCGCACGCACACACGCATGCGTCCACGCACGCACAAGACGGGGTGATCGAAAGATCCCAGCAGGGAGCAGGCAAGGCGGGCTCCACGCCCACTGCTTGCACGTACACACATGGGGGCACCCCTACCACCAACAGCAAGATGCGACTGGATTTCCTGCTAGAACCACAGGCCCGTGCAAAAGAGGGCTTGGAGTTTTTTGGTTTGTTTTGTCTTCCTGCGTCACCAGCGAGTTTGCGCCCCTAGGCACATCAGACACATAAAGAAATGACCATGCCCAAGTAGTGAGGCCCAGGGCACTGGCGATGGGAGGCCCCTCTCAGTCCCAGCGGGAGAGGTCTTTCCCCCAGTCCCCAGGGCCTGGCTGACTCTGTGCCTCCCACTGCCCAGCCCAGAATTAGCTACTCAAGGAGACAGTGGAGGAGGTGTGAGCAGGTAAGGGACCTCACCTTCTCCCATCAACTCAACGCGCCTGGGCTTTTTCGGGGAGGGGGTAACAGAGGACCAGGAGAGCATGGGGGGCTGGGTCAGGATGGGCCAAAGGCAAACAGAGAAGGTTTACTGGGTGGAGGGGTCTTGTGTTATTGGAGAGGAGACGCTCAAGGGAGGGGTCCGAGACTCCCTAACAATGCCTCGACAGTGGCTGGTACCCAGCAGGTACGCCACAGTTGCTGCAGGCTGCTGCTGACCCGCTCCACGGCCTCGCCCAGGCCAGCAGGTCCTTGGCATCCACACGCTTTGCCAGGTGCTCGGCCCTGCCAGCCTCCTCCCAGTAGTCCCAGGGTATCACTACAGGAGCCAGCACATCTCTGACCCTGTCATGCTCGGTGGCCTTAAGGGCGGCTCTCTGCCTCCCTGGGGCTGGTTTCCTGAAACAATTCTTTTGACGTAGAAGACTGCTACTCTAAATGAGTTCTTGGGTGACGTGGGCTTTGAAGGGCTTCAGGGGCCCCTCGCTGGGAGAGACAATTACCCCAGAAGCCTGCCCCGTGACATACCCTCCCAGGCCAGGCCCCTGAGCTCTGGGTCTCCTGAGTCTTCTAAGCCATTTAAGACATCACTCGGGGCCCACCCTGATCACTCCCTGGGCCCTGCAAGGTAGGGGCCAAGGCCACAGGGCAGCTCCCTGGGGAGTGAGCCACTCAGCCCTCCCCTCCCCAAACACGGCTGAGTGGGGAGTCAGCCCCTATACCCCTGGGACATTCTGTGAACAGGGGAGAGTGGCTAGAAGGATCCGGAAGCCTTATAATATCATGGGAGGGGGGGGAGTGTCCCTGTCACCTGTACAGTTTGAGGGATGAAGAAGTTACTCTGAAAGCATCCCCTGCACTCGAGCCAAGGTGAGACCTTCTATTTGGCCTGTGGCCTTGCCCTGTAAGACTCAGTCCTGGGCCAAATGTAGCCTTTCCCACCCCCCACCCACCCCCACCAAGCCTTTTGGCCACTTTTCCGCTACCTGAGCATGTGGGAAGCAGGCATACCAGAAGTCCAGGCTGAGGGGAGGGGACCGCAGCAGGCCCAGCCTACTGCCCTGTTCTCTCCCACCTTTTTGTGGGGTGGGGGGGTGAGATTCTGGCACTGAGGCCCCGTGAGGTGTCCCTCCCAGAGCTGGGGGTGTTCTGAGTGACTCCCCATGCCCCGCGGCAGCCAACCCTCCCGACAGACACTTACTCTGAGGTGCAGGTGGTCAGTCCACGTGCCGATGACCTTGTACTCCGCGGAGCCATTGCGCATCTGGTACTGGTAGATGTCGTAGCGCCCGGGGGCATCTCCGTTCTCATTGAAGGTCACGGGGTTCCCTGCGATGCCTGGGGGAGCCCTCACTCTCAGTGTCCCGGCCGGAGCCTCGGGAGCAGGGAGGATCTAGGGGTCCCTCCAGTCTCTCTCCAGCTGCGCTATGTCCTCGGAGGCCCCGGGACGCTCTCCGGGAGTTTCCACCCCTTGGGACCTTTGGGAAGACTCACCCACCCCGCCCCACAGCGCCAGAAGCTCCGCTGCCCCAGGGGATCGGCCGTGGCTGCCCAGGTCCGCACCTGAGAAGTTGACATTGCGGATGTATCTGAGCAGCTGCGTGCCGTCCACGGGATCCATCCGCGGGCAGAGCCCCACACGTCCTGGGCACAGGTCGCGGTGCATGGCGTGCAGCGCATGGCCCATGGCGTACACGGCGTCGATCACAAATTGCACCTTCCCCTCCTGCTCATACGCTGAGTCCTGCCCGATGCGCTCTCGGTCTGCAGCGAAACACCCAGGGTGGGCGCGCCCATGAGGCCAACTGCGTGGGGTCCGGCCCACCAACTTCACAGAGGGTGCACGGAGGGGGCAGTAGAGCCAGAGTGGCCCTCTGGCGCCCATCCGTGAACCCCAGGGTCTCTTGACGCCTGTCCAGTGCTTTCTCCATCCCCCCAGGTGTCAGCTCTGTGGACGCTGCAGGAATGATGGGAGCATCCCTGGGGCCGGCAAAAGCCAAGACACCAATCTCCCTGGGAAGGTTGCTGGCCCTACCTGTCCCCAGCCTGGCCTGGGCCATCATGGGTCAGGAGGCCCCTCCCACAAGCCAGGACACCAATCTCCCTGGGAAGGTTGCTGGCCCTACCTGTCCCCAGCCTGGCCTGGGCCATCATGGGTCAGGAGGCCCCTCCCACAAGCCAGGACACCAATCTCCCTGGGAAGGTTGCTGGCCCTACCTGTCCCCAGCCTGGCCTGGGCCATCACGGGTCAGGAGGCCCCTCCCACAAGCCAGGTCAAGGAAGTGGGTGGGGCACCAAACAACTCACCTGTAGACAGCCTGCCCCACCCTAGAGAGCAACTGAGACTGAGGTGGTGAGCGGCCAGGGTTTCGGGGCTGTGATTTTTAGACAGAGGCTGCCAGGCCTTTCTGCCTGGTGCCTCTGGGGGGCTTCGAGCCACCAACCTTTGGATGAGGGATCAAGGGCTTCAACTGTTTGGGCCACCCAGGGACTCTACCTCCCTGCTCGAGGGCAAGTTCTACACCTTGCCAAGGTAATTTCCCAGAGGGCAGCAGGACACCCAGCCCAAGAGGGCCAGGAACCCACGGCACCTGGTGTTGTCACTGTGTCTACCCCCTGCCTTGGACCCCTTAAAGGCAGATCAGATACAGGGACCACACTGCCTCTCGCTGTGGTCTGCCCTCCCCACCCCCACCCCCACAAATCTGGTCCCCTCACAGCAGGAAGGACAGGGCATAGGGAAGCCAGGCTGCGGCACCTGTCACCCTTCAGCTGGGCAGGACCCTCCACATCTTTAGCATGGCTCAGGAAGGTCTCACAGAGTGGGGTGTGGGTCTTAGAGGTCAGCATCACAGTGCTGGGGTGGTGGGACCAGAGGGGTCCTCTGCTCCAATCCTGTCATTTGACAGGTGAGAGTATAGCAACCCGGAGGAGGACACTGGCCTTCCCAGAGGACTCCGCATCAGGCCAGATGTCTTTTGAGACATGAGGACCCACCCCTGCCTGTTTCAGACTGCACCTGACCTTCTGCCCGTACTTTTAGCCAAGGAGTGGAAGCTGTCTCCTGCCTGTCCCAGAGCCCCAGTGGAGCTGGTGGCAAGCCCCCCTTCCCTGCTTGGGCCACAGAGATCGTGTCACCAAAGGCAGGACCTGGCCCCAGTGACCCTTGAGGGAGGGTCTTCCTCAGAGATCAAGGGACACTGATTGGACACTCTAATTGGGCAGTTTGGGGTAGATAGCCAGTTGAGTGGGCTCTGGGTACCATTGGGCCCAGGAAGGTAGAGCCCACTGTGCAGCCGAGGGGCTGGAGATGGGCAAGGAGAGTCAGCCAAGGGTTCTCTGTCAACTCCCACTGCAGGGTGTTGGTCTGGACTGGAATTCCAGCTCCACCAGCCATCTAACCATGTGACCTTGGCCCTGTCCCCAGTCTCTCAGCCTCCAGCTTTCTGTCTAGAATGAAAATAGTGAGGAGAGGCACCTCACAGGTCTTTATGAGGGTTAATGAGTTAATATTCACCACAAGAGGAACCATGGTGGCCTGGTAGTTACACGCTGGGCTGCTAACCACAAGGTCAGCAGTTCAAAACCACCAGCTGCTCCTCAGGAGAAAGACGGCTTTCTGCTTCCGTGAAGAGTGACGGTCTTAAAACCCCACAGGGACAGTTTACCCTGCCCTATAGGGTCACTGAGTCGGAGCCGACTCAATGGCAGTTTATCTGTTTGTTTGCTTTTGGTATTCACAGGGTTAATAGGTTGATATGGGAGTCCTGGGAGCGGGGGAGCAGCAAATGGCTAAAGCATGTGCTCAGGGGTGAACCAAAAGTTTGGGAGTTCAAGTCCACTGAAGAGAGCGGCCTGGTGGTTTATTCCTCCCCCCCCCCCCCCCAAACTCAGCCACTGAAAACCTCGTGGTCCTCAGACACACGTGGGTCACCATGGGTCTGAGTGGACTGGTTGACATCTGGTTTGAGTTTTCACAGCAAGACCGGTGCTGGCTGAGTGCGACATTACTATCAAATGGCTGCCAACACCCAGGGTGCATGGTGATTACGAGTTGGGCTGCCAACCCTAAGGTCAGCAGTTTAAAACCACCAACCAGCTCCGCGGGAGAAAGATGGGGCCTTGTACTCCCGTAAAGAACTACAGTCTCAGAAACCCACAGGGGCAGTTCCACCCCGTCCTATAGGGTCACTATCAGTCAGAATCGATTGGATGGCATGAGTTTGGAGGTTTGGGGGTTTAAAGGCCCAGGTGCAAATTGGTGTGAACCCAGACACTGCCAGCAGAGCTTTCTAAGCCATGGCGCAGAGACTAGATGCGCAGAACAGGCAAATTCTCCATCCTCGCCACCCTGCTGACTAATCCCAAGCACAGAGCCCAGGAGAAGGGATCCTCTCTCCGAGGGAGGGGTGAGGCGGGGTCACTGGGGAAGCCCACTCCAGGAGCCAGAGCCTGGCTCAGCATCCCTGCTCTGAGCCCCTGTGTCTCCCACCCCTGGCCCTGCTCTCTCCGCCACTCAGCTCCACGAGACTAAATGATTAACCAGGGACTGAGGGGTGGGCAGGGCCCCCGCAGAGAGGAGGCCACTCTCTGCAAGGCCAGTGGCCACAGAGCCTGGCTGCCCCTCTGGTGGACCCTCACCCCTACTGAGCTGGTCCTCCACCCTCCTCACCCTGTCTTCCTGGGTCAGGCAGAAGCATACATATGTTCCCGGCCATAGCACCCTCAGGTGGGGCTGGGGGTCCCGAGGACACGACTCTGCCCTGGGTGACTGACGGAGGAGCAGCTGTGCCCGTAACCGAGCCCCTTGGGTGCTCGGTGAAGTGCCAGAGCCAGGCCCTGTATCCCTGAGCCTCGGCGGTCAGGCGTTTCTCATCCCCACAACACTGGGAGACGGGCATGACTGTCCTTGTGCACAGAGGGCAACGGGGTTGGCAGGGGCATTAGTGCCACACCCAGAGCCTCACAGGGGTGCTGGCACCTAGCAGGTAGTCCACACCTGTGGGCTGACTGTGTGCTGGTGAGCAGCAGGGTGGTACTGGTGCCCAAACTCGTCAGGGGCTTCCCTGAACTGGCCCACCCTAGAGTGCCCCTCTAGTCCCAAACCTGCCTCCTTCTCCCTTTTGCCCAGGCCTCACCAAGAACTAACCACAAGGTGAGCAGTTCAAACCCCAACAGCCACTCCCCAAGGGGGGACAAATGAGGCTGTCTGTTCCCATAAGTGTTTACCGTCTCAGAAACCCTGTGCAGAGTCTTTGTGAACTAGAATCAACTGAGTGGCAGTGGGTGGGTTGTGTGGGGGTCTAGAGGAGGTAGGTGGCAGGGGGAGGAGGCATCGAAATACCCCCTCTCAGGGTGGGCAGGGTCCCCAGGCTCAGGCTGGGCCACCTCGGAGCAGAGAGGAAGCTAGACACGCATTCCCGGGAGCTACTGGAGGAGATAAATTCCAGACACAGGGCGGCGTTGACAGCAGCAACCGTTTGAAGATGTCCTAATTGTGTCCCAGGGCACAGTGAGACAGAGATGCGTTTGGCTCGGCCACGGGTGACAGCCAGCCGGGAAGCCACGGGGAGATTTTCTCCGTCAGAACCCGGCAGCTGTGGTTACTACAGTGACTACAGCCTTTGTCTGCAGGTTGTAAATTGTAATTGAAATGAGTTTTCAAGGTTGAAATAATCAGAGTTCCTCCTTGCCTCCCCGCCTCACCTCTCCACAACTCACCCCGCCCAGCTGCCATCTTCCCAGGCCTAAACATATGGTACAGTACAGTGCTTGGTCTTCAAGGGGCCCCCTCATGGGAGGGGGCACAAAAGCGGCCACATCTGCACTTAGGTAATTTCACACCTACACCTGCGCTATAGCGAGCACACAACATTGTATGCATTTACCCACCTCCATATACAAGGAGCCCTGGGGCTCCTATGGCACTATGACATAAACATTGGACATCTAACCTCAAGGTTGGGGGTTCAAACCCACCAGCTGCTCTGAGGAAGAATGATGAGGCTAGGTGCTCCCATGAATATTTAATGTTGGAAACCCTATATGAGTCGCAGTCAACTGGATGGCAGTGGGGTTGATTTACACAAAGATACGCGCTCAAACTATCTATAAGCCCAGGCTACATTAACACATGGAACCCTGGTGCCCTAGTGCTTACGTGGTGGGCTGTTAACCACAAGGTCAGCAGTTCAAAACCACCCGCTGCTGCATGGGAGAAAGACAAGGCTTTCTACTCCCATGAAGAGTTACAGTCTCAGAAACTCAAAGAGACAGCTCTGTCCCATAGGGTCACTATAGGCTTAATTTAGGCCTCGGAAATTTTCCTGGGGAAACTCCTGCGTTGGTTCCAGCTACTGGCAGCTGAGCGCATCACCACTGCCCCAACAGGGCCCGTACACAGGACTGCACAAAGTTCGGGGGAGAATGTTTGCGCTCCATTTTCCACGCGCTCGCTGAAGCCCGCTCGGGACAGCTGTCCTCTGAACATGACACTTTATTGGAGCCAGAGAGGTCATTGAGCTCCCGGTCGAGCAGGCCTGCGGGCGGACGCTTCCAAGGCGGCCAGGCCAGGAAACCTGCTGGCATCAGGAGAGGAGGGGATTGGGATGCGGGAGGGCAGGGCTGTGCTCCTGAGGAGATGACTGCTGGGGGAAAGTGGGGGGCTCTCAGGACGCCAGCTGCAGTCAGTCTGCGGCAGAGGGTTCTTCCCGGGACCCCCACTCCACTGGGCTCTGAGGGGCCAGCGGCGCTGACAGGCCATC